GATCTTTTTCTTATTGCTGACATACTTGTAGAAACCCTTCTTGTTACCCTTCACATCCATTGCTAGTTGCAACTCCAATTGTGCTTTGGCCTTCCTGATTTCATCTCATCATGCCCAAACAATAATCTTATACTCCTCTTGATCAAGTTTACAGACAACAAAACTGGGACAGTTTGCAAACGCTTTAGAAGACAGTATTAAAATTCAAAGGGATTTTGATAACTGGAGTCTGGGCTATAGACAGTAAAATGGAATCCATAAACAGACAACTGTAAGTGGTTATATATAGTGAGAAAAAGACAGATGTTCATGTATGGAATGTGGGGTACAACTGGCTTGGCAACAGTACTGGTGAGAAGGAGCTAGGAGTTATAGTGGATCACAAGCTCAATATGTCACCAAAAAGAAAGGAAAATGTGTAGTATTAAAATAGCAAGGTATGCACAAGAGACACTTTACTTGGTGTATTTAAGCTTCAGCTGAATAATGTGGCCAGTTTTGGGTATAACATTTTAAGAAGGATGTAGAGCAATGATTCTCAACCAGGGTGCCACAGCACCATTAGGTGCCTTAAGATTCTTTCAAAGGTGCTGTGGGGTGCTGCAAAATGGTAGCACTATTAAGTGTTCAAACATGATCAACAAGAAAAAAAAACAGTTTTTGCATAGGAACTCATAGTGCTAAAAACATTCTGACCTGCTGTGATGAGAATTCTTTGCAATACAAGAATTGCTTTATTATTCTTCTGTAGTCCAAAAAAAAGAAAAGAAAACTAAGAGCTGGCATTTTTCATGGGATGCCTTAACTCTACCATGCAAAAATCTAAAAATGTTGAGAACCCCTGATGTAAAGACACTGGAAAGGATCCAGAGGTGAGCAATGAAGATAATAAAGGGATTGGAATGCATGCTTTATGAGAAAAGATTTAAGGAAGAAGGTGTGTTTAGTCTGGAGAAACAGATATTAAAGCAGAATGCTATAGAAGTTTACACATATCTGAAAGGCTACCATAGAGAAGATGAAGGAAAACTCCTTTCCCTTGCCACAGAAGGCAGGGTGCTAGGCAATCGGTTAAACTACAGGTAAGCAAATTAAATCAAATATCAGAACACACTTCCTAACTGGAAAAAAAGGAGAATGGAAGAAGCTGGCTAGGAATGTCCTTCACTAGTTTTAGAACATTCTTTACTCAATTTTTCAAGAAAAGGCTGACGGCATCAGGGTAGGATGTTTGACAAACAACAAATCCTATTTGTGATATCCATCAGGGAATACAGGACCCCAAAGGGCCTTTAAAACCCCATTATTCTATCAGATCACACTCTCTTTCCTGTTTCCAAAATGAAAAATAGGGCTTCCCAAACCAGAAGGTATTGGACCTCAAATTTCTTTCACATGCCATGTGGGTCAGCAGGGGGAGGGGAGGAAGAAGGGGTGAATACTTCAAGTTTTCTGCATAATTTGTCCTTTCCTTTCTTATGATCCAATCTCTGAAAGACAAATAAGCAGTAGATGTGAAAAGGGTATGTAAGATGCTGAACAGTGCAGAGAAAGCAACTGAACAGAGCTTTGCATCATGATCCATAATATAAAGGATGAAGAGAAGGAGAAGGGAAAAGAAAACCAAAAAAAAAAAAGGACCCATACTTCATTTAATTAGACCATGAATCACTGCCCCAGGATACTAGTGAAACAAATAATTTAATACGACAAAAAATAATTCTATAATGGAACAAAATCTGCAGTCAAACCAGAGAGTACTAAAAAGATACAAGAGTTTAAATCTCCATACTGAGGACTTTGTTTGACATCTAGTAGGAAGTAAAACTCCCCTGCTAGGTACAGCATAGCGATTTCCTTTCTACAAAAGAGGTGGTTTCCATACACTGTGGGAGGCATGATACTTAACAGGCTAACATAATAACAACTGTATTACAAACAAACTTTTTTTTTTAATTAAAAACATAAGTAAAACCCTCTTGATCAGTCAAATATTTATCACACAGTACTAAAATGAACTGTAGAGTTGCTTGCCAACTGAATTTTGGCACAGTTTCATTTCCACGTTTCCATTCTAAACAGGGCCTTCTAACAGACAAACTGCACCAGTGCTGAGAATTAAATTCTAGGTATTATAGCAAAGAATGGAAGTGGTTTATTTCAGTTACAGTACATTATTTCACCAGCATGAAGATTTCCTTTCAGAGATACTATCCAGAAGTAGTTTGCTAGTGTCAATGTGAACATAACAAAATACATTTTTATGATCTCAATTTAAGATGTGCATACATAAATACAGCCAGCCAAATACTGAGAGAAGTACATAAAAGAACATATTTCATACTGTTTGTCTCATAGTCTATAGCAAGCCATACTTGTTATTAAGAAAAAAACTTCAGCTTTTAACAAGTAGTATCTGCAAGTCGCCTGATGCTAGGTCTTAAAAAAATAAATGCAAAATAAAAAAGTAGTAAAACTTTATTTTAGAATTAAACACTGAACAACTGAAAGATTGTGTTGCAGAAAATTTGGATTAGCCTGTATGTAAAGATTGTGTACGAGCCATGGTGAGAAAAAATGGTTGTCCTGTAATAATACAAAATATTTAGACCAAAAAGTATTGGCATATCATAGCATCATATACCAAGGCATTCTGTACTATGGACATAAGCTTTTCACATTATCAATGCTGTTGTGTGTAGCAATAACAAAATTTATGCACTTGAAATCTCAGAGAGTTTTGTGCATTATTTCTTAATGATATGGAGGAGGAAGGAGAGCTAGCACTTCACTGTAACATTAGATAGCTGTGAAAGAGAAGATGTTTGAAAAATGTTGGAATATGAAATTCCTGGTGCTTATGTTTTTGGATAGCAATGGGGAACTTGCTGATGGATGTAGGCTCCCGAAAGACGGAAGCTCGCTTTGTGGCCTAGCTTTCACTGTGGATATCAGCAGCCATCTTAATAAGCTATGATTGCAAGACAGAGAAATACTTTTCCCAATGAAATTCAGTCTCATTGCTTCTTGTAAAGCCAAGCTCACAAGTGGCTTGTCTCAGGAAAACACAGATCATTTTCTTCACTTTCAAGAATCACAGCCTGGTGGTGATGTTGTCGGTAACTTTGGAAAATACACAGCCGCATCTTCTTTTCTCTGAAGTTCATTTGAAAACTATTTCACTGATTTTGTGGCAGATCAGAAGTATGTGAAACTTTTTAGTAACCTATTTTCCATCTTGGAGGAAGAGAGGTTGAAAATTATCCACCTGAGACAC